CCTGGCTCAAGTCGAGGCGTTAGAAGTAGAGAGGTGTTTTTTGCAGTTGGAGCATTCGCACAGATAACATTTGGCTTACAGGTACGAAAATGTGCAGACGAATGTGAGGAATATAGATAAAAAGGCTTTGTAAATATTGTGATTGACAGTGGAACGAATATTCAGCTGTTACAAGTGGAATCCTCACGAAAACATGCATTTATTGTCAGCGTACGCACAAATTGTAAAGCGTGTATTGATGCATTGCAGCTGACGTCATCGATATTCAATGGGGGGGTGATGCTAGCTGTGGGCACTGCTCTGTCTGATGCCCTGCTACTCAAGTTAAGCTTTAATCTGAGCTTTGTTTTGACACAATCTGAACAGAAAGAGCTGATTTAGTTGGAACTACAACAGGTGAGATGCTTTGTGTTTGTCTGTTAAACAAGTCTCTCACACATAAGTCAAGTCATTTTATTTATATAGCACATTTAAAACAACCGTAACAAGTTATGTTATTAGGTTCTTTTTTTTTTTTCAGACCAAGAGTTTGTTTTCATACCTGACAGTTTTGATTGTTCACTAGTGGTTTTCCTCAGAGTGGTCATGTGATGTTGTTGTGACGTGTCCGGTCAGCTGATTTAAACAGGTTTTGGCGCTGTCTTCCTACCGGTGGAGGCAGTTCGACTTCCTCAGGACAGTATCCCAGGTGTGTGAGTGAAAAAAAAGCCCCCTCGTCCCGGTTTATATCCCGATTGCCTCTTTGATCCAGCGACGGTGTTTGTTTTTCTCTGTCCCAATGATGTTTGCTCCGTCCCAGTCCACATTGTGGTTCTCTCTTTTATAATGGTAACAGATGGCCAATTTAAGTTGCCTCCATCCTGCCTCCATCGGTACGAAGACAGCGCCAAAACCTGTGGAAATCAGCTGATCGGACACGTCACAGCAACATCACGTGGCTCTGAGGAAGACGCTAGTGAGCAGTCGAAACTGTCAGGTATGAAAGCAAACTCTTGGTCTGAAAAAAGAAGCTAATAACATAAATTATCGGAAGACCAAATGAACCTCATTGGACTAACCTTAACAAGTTGTACCAAAGTGCTTTACGGCATGAAACACAACACTGTGAAACAATAAAACTAAGATAACATATACAAAATATTACATAAAAGAGTGGCTTGATACACAAAAGATAAAAGTCCAGCTGACACTGAGTAAAGCTCATGGGCTGTTGAATGCCATCTTGAAAAAAAAAAGTGTTGTCAGGAGAGTTTTAAAATGAGGTAGAGAGGAGCCAGATCTCAGATGAAGAGGAAGGGCATTCCAAAGCTTAAGAGCCACAACAGAAAGAAAGCTCGACATAAGATCACAGTCACAGGCTACATAGCATTAACCAACAGTTTTACAGTTAGTCACTTTCATGTTTTTGTTGGAAATTAAACTCCTTAACAGGACCGCGAACACTCGTATTAATCACAGGCTCCTGAAAATGTGCTGTTTAAATCCATTTTGTATTTTCCTCTTGAGTTTTCAGATGTTCTTAAACCTTTTTTTGGCAGCGTTGGTTAATGCATTGTGTCTCCATGGTAAGTGCCGAACATTCCTCCATAGACATGCATACAGAACCCCCCATTGTGATGTCACTGCAAAGTATAAAATAAAATATTTTTAAAAAAGAGACTGCAGATGCCCCCATGTACAGTTCACTTTCACCATTGTGTTGCTATGAATAATAATCATCATCATCATCATCATAACAACAATAACACCTACAACCCATTTGAAAAAAGACTTGGACTCGAGTCAGACTTGAGCCACTATTTTTAGGACTTCAGACTTGACTTAATAAAATAGACTAAGGGACTTGGGACTCATCTTAGATTTGGGACTTGACTCGGACTTGAGGTCTGTGACTTGAGAAGACTCAGTGCTTCTCCTAAAAAAAATATATGTTTTTAGAAAATACTTTTCTCTTTACAGTTGATACATGGAGTGCTTTTACAGGAACAAACTGGAACATGTCCCTCCCACTTCTCTGTGGTACTTTGGATGTGACTGAAGTACTGTGATGTGGTATCATCAAATGTACTACAGTAAGATACAGTACAATGCAGTAAAACAGAGAACTACAAAGAACATGATCCTTCCATTTCAGTGCAGATACACGACAACATAACTGCACTTTTAAATCTTAATTCTTTCTATTCAGACCGTAATGATTCACAGTAACTTCTTGCCAAAACATTTAAAAAGGAAAAAGTTGCATTTCTATAACTCTTATATAAATACTCATATATAAATATACCATGACTAAGTACAATTTAATTGCTAAAATCGAAGCTATATTTGGTACTTCAGTTTAAAGACTTGAAATGACTTGAAGCTCAAAGCAGATGACTTGGACTTGACTTGGATTTATGGGCCAGTGACTTGAGACTCGACTTGGACTTGCCTGTCTTTGACTTAAGACTTGACTCGGAATTGAGGTCAAAGACTTGAGAATGACTTGAGTCTTGCAAAACAATGACTTGGTCCTACTTCTGCCAATTATAGTGTAGTTCACAGGTGTCAAACATGCGGCCCGGGGGCCAGATCTGGCCCTCCAAGATCTTTAATCTGGCCCTCGGCTGATTTTCTACTAAAATATTTTAATTCTGTTTTTTATTAAAATCTTGTTAATTTTCTGTGGTGTTTATCACAGCAGCGTCTCCAGCGTCTCTGTACGTGGCCCCTCCCACCAGAGCAGCACAAATGAAGACTTGTCTCTTTACAAACGCTCTTAAAGGACGATCGTTTTGACTGTTGACCGTGACACCCTCATCAGAAAAATGTCCAACATGAGAAAAGTGGAGTCGAGTGCAGGATTTTCCAAAAAAATTTACTTAGTCCTATTTATACAAGTTAATGTTAAACAAGTTCATGTTAAATCATTGTGTTGAAATTGTATTTTTCTTAAAGTTTCAGGTTGTTCATAATATTATAATATTTTGTAAAAGAAAGAGTTCATCAGTTAAAAAAGATTTCTGTAATAGATTTATGTTTCTCTGCACAAATATTTGAACTTATTGTTATTTTTGGGGTTTATATGACATGAGTTTTCTAATCCGGCCCCTTTGGGATCAGAGTTGGTTGGATACGGCCCCCGGACCAAAATGAGTCTGACACTCCTGGTTTAGATAATAGAGTTCAAGTTAGACCCTGGTCAAATTTTTACCCGTCTAGTGGCAGATCAGCAAATAAAACCTTTCCCAAGTCCATACACACTGTTGTTGTATCCCTGGGCAAGACACTGACTTAGACAATCCATTCATAATATGCTGGTTGGGAAAGGAAGTGCACCTGGTGTAAAAAACAAACAAACAAACAGCTGACTTGCATTTTCAGTCGGACAACCTCATCTGAAATAGACCAACGTAATTAAACTTTCTCATATTTATGGAGCTATATTTGCTTTGTACACGGCGCACAGATCCTCCGTGCATTTTCCCCCACACCGTTTTCACCGCTAGATCTTAAAAACCAAAGCTATATTACGAATGTTAAATCATGTTATACGTTGTACAAAGAGAGATCACAGCAATAACGGAGAGGGACGGGCTCTGATTCACTGTAAAAGGCTTCGCAAAGATCTGTTTTTGTAAAGATCTGGTTTTGTTAAGGCCTCCACTGATTTCATATGCATCCATGGAGGAGATTAAATGCAAATGTATCCAGAATATGCACCATTTAATACAAGCACATTGGACCCCGGAGATAAGAGAACCATGTATTTCTAACCACTGATGCAATTGCGAATACTGGAATACACGCTTAACATACTGGATGCATTAAGGTGAACTCTCAAGGCCATTCATGACCAAGCAACTGGGAATCACGCTAGCGACCTACGTTTTTATGGCTGCATGTGATTTGACTTTTATTATTGACTCATTTGAAGCTGTGATGGGAAATACTGAGCATGTATCATTGGTGGTTTTCCGGTTCTGTCACACTCCCAAGTGATGAACATGGGATTCTAATGAGGAATATACAAAAGATAAATTCACAAATGTTGGACGTGATCATTTCTACTAGTGACTTTAGTCCAAAACTTGCTATATTACAACAAAAATCTGCAATATTAATTTATGCTGCCATCTATTATTGATCTATGGAACGTTTACCTAAAAAAACAGACCTGGAGTTGTGTTTTGTTTCATTCACACGTTTGAGTAATCTTTTATTATTAGTCTGTCTACATCCCCAAAGCTCAAAATGCCCTGTTCCACCTTGATGTGATGTCACGAAGTGGTAGTTTTCATGTTGACAGCTACCGTTTATTTTTTAGTTCAGTAGAGATGGGAAAGTCCAAATGATTCTAGTGAAGTGGAGCACTTCCTGTATTACCAGATGACGTAACAAGCTGGAACAGAGAGTTTTCAGTTTGAGAGAAGAACTCAGCCGAAATATGCAGGTTTGTGTGTTTAACGTGTGTGAATTAAACAAAACACGACTCCAGGTCTGTTTGTGATGAGTAAAAAACTAGTGTTGTTGTCAAGACTGGCACTAATCGAGATCAAGACCTGTCCGAGACCACAAGGTCCCGAGAGCAGGACATGACCAAGACCTATGAGGGTCGAGACCGAGACAAGACCGAGACTGTTAAACGTCGAGACCAAGACGAGACTGAGACCACGACCCATCGAGACCAAATCGAGACCATCTTTGTAATTGTTTTTACATTCATTTGTATTTTACAGTTATTTTTGGCACATATATATCAATATTTTCATGAATCTATCTCCATTTTATCACTCGTCAGGTGTCAGACGAGACCAAATCAAGACGAAATCCAAACGCGGTTGAGTCCGAGACAAGGCCAAGTACAAACACCTTCAAGACCGAGACAAGACCAAGACTTTTAAAGCCTGAGACCAGGACAAGACCAAGACCATGACCCATCCAGACCAAATCGAGACCATCTTTATAATTTTTGACATTTATTTGTATTTTACAGTTATTTTTGGCACATATGTGGCGAGCGGGGCATCCGGGAGGGGTGTGAGGAGCACCCCAAAGTAAGATAATCAACATAAAACCAACAACGCCACTGGGCGTAGCCCAGAACTAAAACTAAATTTACTAAACTAAAAGGCTCACAGGTTCGTTAATTGACAGACAGAGACAAGTGACTTACAAAACATGAAATTATTTATTATTGCCATAATTCATTTGTTAGATTAACTTTAAGAGTAGACTATTCACTGTTCACATAACTGCCGATAACACAGTCACCAAAAGCAGCTGTACGGTGATTTTGTCCTTAAAATTAAAAAAACACAGTAAAACAAAGCAGCAGCTCGTTCACAGGGCCACCGCTCCACCAGATGACGTGCCGAAGACCACCCTGGACCCTAAAATGAACATTATATTTTATCTTTCACTTGGTGGTAGCCCCATACATGAACCTAAACCAATGACCAGCCAACGTACCACAAAACACACGCTTCTACATCCACGAGGCTTGACGCCGAGCGGCCGGGGCATCTGACAGCAACACCGACCCAACCGTGGACAGCGGCTAACAGTGGCGCTTGTGGCGATCAACAGCAAATACATGCAGGAGCTTTACTCACGAGCCATAACTTCGATCAGGCACGTCGAGACTCTAGGAGCGGTGGCACTACAATAAAGCCACACATTAAATTATAAAATTGTAATTGTAATTAGAGAACAGCGGTTGTTTACCTGTGCGCGACAAGGCGGAGCCCTATCCCGGAAGTGCGCCGAGGTCAGAGAACGAGACGCTACGGGGAGTGCCCTTTTATAAGCCCAGGCGCCACCTGGTGGCAGAAGGCAGCAGGCGCGCACTGCTACATTATACCCCTCCCTTTTGAATCGTCGTCCCGACGATTGACGCACACAAAGAACTTGCAGAACATAAATAAGTGCTCTTAAAACACATTTCTGTTTAAAATGTTACCTAAACTCAGTCCAGAACGAACAGGACACGGCCCTTACCACAGTTACACACCTGTACCTGCAGAATTAAAAACCAGCTCGCTCAGCTGTACTCAACTCCTCTCACGCAGATGGAGGGCCCTGAAGGCTACGGCCAGTGCGATGAAGCTACTGACGGCTAACGTTTACGACAACCCACGAAAACTGCGGTACCGAGACTGACAACCAATGAGCTTTCAGCGGAAACTACTGCGCCCCTACGCTGTCATAGGTAAACAAAACGGAACGGCTATTCAAGCGGCCCCTAACATCTCACAGCAATCTAGTTACCTGGGCGGTATGAGCCATCCACTGTAGGCTCCTGGTACCACACACTCTCTGGGACTGATGCTGTGACCTCGAGCACCCCACGCCGGACACTCACTCCATTTTCCAAATGCCCTCCCCAACTGCTGCTTTGCCTTCACAATACAAAAAAAAACAAACAGACCAATACATTCAAGATAGCCAAACAATTCACAATGCAGATCAGCTTTAACATTTAAGTAGAATTACGGGTAGCATCAAGTAATTTCCCTACAGGTAAACCATGCCTTGCTACTGCTTGGTCAACTTCTGAAACTATGTATATATACAACAATTTAAAATAAACACAAAGTAAAAAACAAAAATCACACAGCAAACCAATGTATACATGAAACAAATGAAGTTTGCACAATACAAAGTTGGACAGGTTAAACCTGGTACATGGGGAATTTTAACCTGGCTACTACGCTCCACTTAATGCAAACAAACAGCATCATAAAAAATAAAAATGAAAGCACATGTCTCTGTACATAATCAATTATCCTGCCGACAACGCCAAGTGTGGCGAGCGGGGCATCCGGGAGGGGTGTGAGGAGCACCCCAAAGTAAGATAATCAACATAAAACCAACAACGCCACTGGGCGTAGCCCAGAACTAAAACTAAATTTACTAAACTAAAAGGCTCACAGGTTCGTTAATTGACAGACAGAGACAAGTGACTTACAAAACATGAAATTATTTATTATTGCCATAATTCATTTGTTAGATTAACTTTAAGAGTAGACTATTCACTGTTCACATAACTGCCGATAACACAGTCACCAAAAGCAGCTGTACGGTGATTTTGTCCTTAAAATTAAAAACACAGTAAAACAAAGCAGCAGCTCGTTCACAGGGCCACCGCTCCACCAGATGACGTGCCGAAGACCACCCTGGACCCTAAAATGAACATTATATTTTATCTTTCACTTGGTGGTAGCCCCATACATGAACCTAAACCAATGACCAGCCAACGTACCACAAAACACACGCTTCTACATCCACGAGGCTTGACGCCGAGCGGCCGGGGCATCTGACAGCAACACCGACCCAACCGTGGACAGCGGCTAACAGTGGCGCTTGTGGCGATCAACAGCAAATACATGCAGGAGCTTTACTCACGAGCCATAACTTCGATCAGGCACGTCGAGACTCTAGGAGCGGTGGCACTACAATAAAGCCACACATTAAATTATAAAATTGTAATTGTAATTAGAGAACAGCGGTTGTTTACCTGTGCGCGACAAGGCGGAGCCCTATCCCGGAAGTGCGCCGAGGTCAGAGAACGAGACGCTACGGGGAGTGCCCTTTTATAAGCCCAGGCGCCACCTGGTGGCAGAAGGCAGCAGGCGCGCACTGCTACACATATATATCAATGTTTTTATAAATCTATCTCCATTTTATCACTCACTGAGTCTCAGACCTCGAGACTGAGACAAGACTGAGTCCAAACGCGGTTGAGTCCGAGACAAGGCCAAGTACAAACACCTTCAAGACCGAGACAAGACCAAGACTTTTAAAGGCTGAGACCAGGACAAGACCAAGACCATGACCCATCGAGACCAAATCAAAACCATCTTTGTAATTTTTGATATTTATTTGTATTTTATAGGTTTTTTTTTTGGCACTTTTATATCAATGTTTTTATAAATCTATTTCCATTTTATCACTCATCAAGTCTCAGACCTCGAGACCAAGACAAAACCGAGTCCAAACGTATTCAAGATTGAGATATGACTGAGTCCAAGCGCCTTCAAGAATGAGACAAGACCGAGTCCAAGCGCTTTTAAGATCGAAACAAGACTGAGTCCAAGCTCCTTCAAGACTGAGACAAGTCTGAGTCCAAATGCTTTCGAGTCTGAGACGAGATCAAAACCGCAAAAAAAGGTCTTAAAGCCACTCTCGAGACCAAGTCCGGTCTCGAGTGCTACGACACTGGAAAAAACATTATAACATAGAACAGAAAACAGCGTAATATAGATTTCTTTATGCTCTTATAGCAAAAACACGGGACTCCTCAGTACGAACCCATTCATTTACCGCACCATTTAACACTGTTTAATCCCCACAAAATCAACTGTAAAACGAAAATCGCGAGTATCTGTTTTCCCGTGCGCTTTCTCCCATTGGTCCCAATATTCTTCTATGGGCTGAATGAATGAATGCTAAACATATTCATGGCATTGCAGTGTATTCTGGGAGCTTTTCATGTCTCTGCAACACTGGAGCAGATGAGATGTGTTATTCACAATTATTTTCAAAGCCTGTGTCCATGTCCAAGCTATCGTATCAGATCTCAATGACTGCGACTATCTCCCTGCGCATAATTGCAAAAGGATTACTATTTTACCATTCCCTTTCAACGCAAAAAGGGACGCCCAATTGTGGAGGGTAAAATAAATCATTATACAAAATTGCAGTGGAATAACAGCAGAGGAGAGGGGCTGTAAAATGGACTGAGATGGAGCAGCGCAGTGAGTTAAATAAGGGGAAATAATAAGGAAAGAGGAGGTTATCTGCAGACTGGGTTTTCAGACACTCAGCTCATATGCAGACTCTGCTCTACACTGTAAAAAAAGAACACCGTCGTAAATTAACACTGGGAATGAGTCGGATTCAAAGTGTGTCTGTTTGGAGAAAAGTTTGGACTGGATTTAAAGAGCCCATGTTATGTTATTTTCTGTTATAGTGTTTCCTGATTAAGCTCCTGTTTACATGAGAACATATTTTGTCAGAAGTGCCTTTCGCTTAGACGGTGATGGCGTTTTTGGGGCTTAAAAACGCAAAAATCTGAAACCACCCTCCAGAGTGGAAATGTTGAAAAAGCTCTGCCGTTGCGTTTCTATCTACACTGCCCAAGACGCAAAACTCTGGTCAGATCTGCTCACGTCGCGTATGAGTTTATGTCACATACATACAGTACACAGAAACAAACATGTCTGATCATTTCCATGCGTTGAACCTTCAAGTTGCTCTGGCAGCTTTAATAAACTTACAGGAATGCAGAGATACTGTTAGTGAACAGAGAAGGATCTGCAGTTACCTCTGTCAAATTCTGGATGTACCAGTTCGTCACAGGCGAGTCAGACCTGGGAAAAGCAGTCGATGGTGGGACAACTTTGTGCAAGGAGTAGCTGATGAAAATACATGGTGTGAAAACTTCCATATGTGTAAAGATGCCCTTGTTGCTTTAAGTACAAGCACACCCAATCGAAATTCCACACACTTTTGCTTCACCGTCACTGTATTTTCTCCCAAAAACATTCGTCTAAACATGGAATAAAAAGGGAAGATGTGACACCACTTTTGCGTCTTCTGTTCAGACCATCATCATATAAACGTAGCCTAAAAAAGTACCTAGAATTGTGTTTTGTTTTATTCACACATGTTTAACATGCAAATCCTGCATATTTAGGCTGGGTTCTTCTCTCAAACTGAACTTACTTCATTTGAATACACCTTCACTTGAATCATTTGGGTAATTTCAGCCTTGGAATTGCCAATCTCTAGTAAACTAAAGGTTAAAAGTATCTGGTAACTTGATTACTACCACTGCATGACATCAGTAGGTGGAATGGGTGTGTAGCAACATTTCAGTTCTCAGCCCACGAGTGTCAATTTTATGCAATATAGGACTGTGAAGTGCGCACTACGTAACTTTTCTGGTGAATGGTATGGCACCTGTTTGTCTCCATGGGTCCATGAATATATTTCTTTTTCCTGAATGTTCCACAGTATGGCATTAATCACTCTATCTGTCTGTCATGGTTGAAGCGATACAGTTTTCTCACGATTCAATATTAACCTCGATAGATGGGTCACGATATCGATGGGAATTTTGGGTCTCATGTAATTTTTTCTGCTAACATGCAAAATATATATATCTATAGAGATGAGTCACTAGGCATTACAAGTCAGATCTGTGGAAAATCAAGCCAACACACAATAAGGAAAAGAAAAAAAAGAAAAAAAGTAACTTCTACATTTACATTGATATAATTATGTCTTATTTGACAACTTTCTTTACTTTTTTTTTTCATTTTTATTTATTTACATTTATTGCCATTTATTTAGACATTATTACCCTTTATTTATTATTACCATTTATTTAGTCATTATTGTCATTTATTGACATTATTCATTTATTTCATTTATTAGCCATTTTATTTAGATTATTGCCATTTATTAGGATATTATTGCCATTTATTTAGACATTATTGCATTTATTTAGGCATTATTGCCATTTATTTAGACATTATTACTATTTATATATATTTTTTTCTCTTTGTTTTTACATTATATTGTGATGTGTGAGCTCCTGTGTCCAAAAAATTTCCCTTGTGGATCAATAAAGTTTGTCTAAGTCTAAAAAAGGCTTTTTGTACACCTGTAATTGAATATTCCAGTCGAAGCATCAGCATCTCCATGGAGTCACGCAGCAGTATTAGGTTACAGAGTTCATATTTAAGGTTAAGATACACTCAACTGTCTCCCTATGGGGTAATTTCCACTGGTTTTGGTCCATCCTTTAATACCACCGGGGCCCCTGTCAGGAGCAGTGGGTGACAGGAGTGAGGCGCCCAGGGACTCATCTCCAGGTACAGCTCAGTTTATAAAAATCATCAGCATATTGTGCAAGTTGAAGGTTGGAAAGTTGTTTTATTTTTGCTTTAATTCTTCAAAATATTACACTAAAGTATCAAACACTGGATGATTAAGATTTCTTTAAAGGTGCACTATGTCATTTTTTGTTTAGGCGTCTGTCATTTACTTGTTTCTATGGAAATGTCATTGCTTTTCCTGGACCCTCCACCAGAAAAGTTACACAATGCGCCTTTAAGATTATCTAAGTGTGATTTAGGGCTGCAAGATCAAAATCACAATTTGAATAAATGCAATCTGCAAATCGCGAAGGCTGCAATTTTTTGAGTACCGTTTTTTCCTCCTCAAGCAAAATACCCTGTCTTATTCTGCATAAAAACTGCTAACCCTGTAGTTTAGATCGGTACAAACATGTTTTGAAATGTGATTCTTGTATTAGTTTGCCAGTTTATATTTCAGTCTTTTCATCTGTTCTCCTGGGAGTGTTTTAAATGTGAACTATACTTATAATTAAAGGTCCTATATGACACCAAATTGACAATTGTGAGCTGCTTTGAAACATGTTATAAGATAAGATAAGATACGATAATCCTTTATCGTCTCCCATGTAAGAAATTTGTCTTTGGACAGAGGAATGCATGCTTTATCAAAAAACAGGCCAACACAACAACAAAAAGCACCAAACAAAATTCACTATAGAACAGGGGTGTCAAACTCATTTTGGTCCGGGGGCCATATCCAACCGACTTTGATCCCAAAGGGGCCGGATCAGAAAACTCATGGCATATAAACCCCAAAAATAACAATAAGTTCAAATATTTGTGCAGAGAAACACAAATCTATTACAGAAATCTTTTTTTAATTGATGAACTCTTTCTTTTACAAAATATTATAATATTATGAACAACCTGAAACTTTAAGAAAAATACAATTTCACCACAATGTTTTAACATGAACTTGTTTAACATTAACTTGTAGAAATAGGAATAAGTAAAGTTTTGTTGTAAAATCCTGCACTCGTCTCCACTTTTCTCATTTTTGACATTTTTCTGATGAGGGTGTCACGGTCAACAGTCAAAACGATCGTCCTTTAAGAGCGTTTGGAAAGAGACAAGTCTTCATTTGTGCTGCTCTGGTGGGAGGGGCCACGTACAGAGACGCTGGAGACGCTGCTGTGATAAACACCGCAGAAAATTAACAATATTTTAATAAAAAATACAATTTAAATATTTTAGTAGAAAATCAGACGAGGGCCAGATTAAAGGTCTTGGAGGGCCGGATCTGGCCCCCGGGCCGCATGTTTGACACCTGTGCTATAGAACATAAACAAATAAATAAGAGACCAAGTATGACCACGAGTGATGCACCAACAGGACCTTTAAGACACTATTTAAAGGGAAACTATTGCAATCTTGTATTCTAATAATAATTGCACATTCCATACGTCTATGCACAGTTTTGATTGCACATTCCCCTGACGTATGTGCAGTTGTAATTGCACATTCCTTTGACCTATGTGCAGTTTTGATTGCACATTTCCTTTACATATGTGCAGTTTTGATTGCACATTTCCTTTACATATGTGCAGTTTTGATTGCACATTCCCCTGACCTATGTGTGGTTTTGATTGCACATTTCCTTTGACCTGTGCAGTTTTGATTCCCTAAGTCTTTTACTTTTATTTTTTAACTGCACTATCTGAGTTTAGCCGATGTCTAATGGCACAAAAAAGAATGTTTGAATGTATAATGCTTTTACATCCACA